TGTAAAAGGAATCACAGCAGAAAGCTTGTGGAATCTAATCCTTCTCTGAGCATTAATGCGTGTGGACTCACCCATGTGGTATGTCCATTAGTGTGTTAGGGGCTAAAGTCTGTTCTTAAAAATGACAGAGCCAAGCCAAGCGTTCTGGGGAAGGAAGGTCACTTCTGGGGGGGCGGGCTATCCACCAGGGTTTTCTGATTTCATTTTCAATTCTGAGTGGGAGGCGGAGACTGTCAGAGGAAGATTAAAGCAGAGTCCACCCAGGGGGGAGGGGACTTAAGGAAAGTTTCCCTTGATATGTAAATAACCAGTCTTTTAAGGAATGGATTTCCCTATAATTAACATAATTCCCCCCTGCAGCTTTGGGGCTGAGAAGTGGGCCCTGGGGGGGGGGGGGGCGCGTGGGCGGCAGGGTTTCCTTTGGAAACACCTGCTCTGAAAGTGAAAGGAAGATGTTCTTTGGGGCAAGGCTGCCCCTGGATCAGAATTATGGGCCGGACCTTGACAGTAGTTGAGGAAGTTAACTCCTGGCTCTTTCTTACCTTTGAATGAAAACCAAGAACCTGCTGGATTTTTGTTAACTACTACCAGCTACTTCCCTATGGCTACTTGTCCCTCAGTCTCCTTGTGAAAATAAAGGGGGTTTACTGATGTGTTTCAGAAGCCAGGGGACAGAGGGGAATCTGGGAAGGTGCAGTGCCTTCTGCCTGACCCTGGGGAGAGGGGAGGGGACCAAAGAGTGGCTCCCTTCCTGGGTGGGGAGTCTGAGCAGGGAGGCACTGGGGTCCACAACACACTACTGGTGACCTAAATTCAAGAGAGGAGTTTCAGTTGAGTAGATAGGGTGAAAGTCAGAATTTTCTAGAATTAAAAAGAAAGATCTTTAAAGAATACCCAGGAATAAAGACTCATTTTTTTTTAAAAATATATTTTTATTGAGAGGAAGGGATGGGTAGAGAGAAATAGAAACAATGATGAGCGAGAATCATTGATCGGCTGCCTCCTGCACACCCGCATTGGGATCAAGCCTGCAACCCGCGGAGGCACAGAGAGAATAAGAACCTATCCCGGTCGGGCATGTGCCCTGACCGGGAATCAAACCGTGATCTCCTGGTTCACAGGTCGACACTCAACCACTGACACCACGCTGGCTGGGTGAGGCTCAATTTTACCAGAAGGGCTCATACATCAGTAAGTATATTGGCTCCCAGAAATCCCTAGATGGCTTTCCTGCTGAGCCTGCGGGAGGATAGTTTCAGCTCCATTTGGACGTGGAGGGCCCTGTCTTTAGTGAGCAGACCTGGTCTGCAGGGGGCTCTCCCAGGGCAGGCTCGGGGGACAGCAGGCCCACGCAGGACACACTGTCCAGTGAGCTCTAAGACATCACGCTCTGAGAAGACACGAAGCCAACACTGCAATTCTCCACGGCCCCTCTCAGCAGACTAGAGGGAGACTGGAATTGCCCTGTCCCTTCCTTCTGCCCTGCCCCTGCCCTGTCCCTCGGTGCTCCTGGGACCAGCTGGTGCTCCTGGGGAGAAACTGGTGCTCCTGGGGAGAAACTGGCTCTTCAGGAGGCGCCACTGGGAGGCAGTCGGACAGGGTTTCATGTCTAGACCAGCCGTGGGCAAACTGTGGCCCGCGGGCCGGATCCGGCCCATTTGAAATGAATAAAACTAAAAAAAAAAAAAGACCGTACCCTTTTATGTAATGATGTTTACTTTGAATTTATATTAGTTCACACAAACACTCCATCCATGCTTTTGTTCCGGCCCTCCGGTCCAGTTTAAGAACCCATTGTGACCCTCGAGTCAAAAAGTTTGCCCACCCCTGGTCTAGACCCTGTCAGGAGCCTTCGGGGTTTCTTCAGCTATTGCTCCAGCCCGGTTAGCTGTTCTCTTAGGGCCGTGGTCGGCAAACTGCGGCTCGAGAGCCACATGCGGCTCTTTGGCCCCTTGAGTGTGGCTCTTCCTAAGCCTTAGGAGTACCCTAATTAAGTTAATAACAATGCACCTACCTATATAGTTTAAGTTTAAAAAATTTGGCTCTCAAAAGAAATTTCAATCGTTGTACTGTTGATATTTGGCCCTGTTGACTAATGAGTTTGCCGACCACTGTTTAGGGTCCTGTACAGCCAATGGGAGGCTTTGACTTTGAAAGCTTCAAAGGTGTGTGAAATAATAATCTAGCAGCAGCTGGCCTGAGTGAGGGAATTAGGGACCCACAACAGATCCAGAAGGAGGTGTCAGTGAAGCTCTGAGCATTCCTTTTGCAGAAGAAGCAGGGGACTCGGTCCCAGATGCCTGCAGGAAGTTCAGGCCAGCCTCGCTCAAACTCACCCCGGAAGGTGGGCACCCCTCTGCTGCCCCGACCAGCCAGCCCTGGTGCGTCCAGTTCTGAGGGGCTTGCCCTCTCGATGCCTCCACTGCCTGGAGCCTGACCTCATGGGTCTGGGATTGCAAGCCTCCGACGTCACCCATTAATGATAATGTACCTCCTGTCCGTTCACAGCCATGGGGGGAATTTAAATGGGGACGGGGTCCCCAAAGACCCCCTGCATCAGAATCAGGCAAACTGCTTGTGAGATGTGCCAACTGCCCAAAGCTACCGATGTACATATTTTTTTTTCTTTTTGATAATCCTCACCCAAGGATATTTTTCCATTGATTTTTATAAAGCGTGGAAGGGAGAGGGAGAGACACAGAGAGAGAAACATCAACGTGAAAGAGACATATCCATTGTTTGCCTCCCACATGAACCCGGACCAGGGCTGGGGATCGAGCCTGCAACCGGTGCTCTTGACCAGAATCGAACCCAAGACCCCTCAGTCTGTGAGCTGACCATC